CTTCTCTCATATGACTTTCTACTTAACGGGCACGACATCCATGACCCTGTTGTTTTCCATTCATTGTTGCTTCATGTTGTATGATGTGTATATTCATTGAAACAGCTTTCCAGTTCATTAATTCACAGTTGGTAATCTGGTGTTAAACTAATGAGTATATTAATTTCAGTTTTCTATTTTTTTCAATTCTTGAATTTCCATTGTTTTTACAATATAATTTCTGATTTCTCCTAAGTCTTCACACATATTTATTATGGTTATTTTAAGGTCAGTATATGAGAGGCTTAGTATTTCCGTATCTTTAGATCTGTTTCATTGTTTGTCTTGGTTTTCAGTTTTTGTCTTCTTGTATGCCTAGTAATGATTTTTCTGCATATAGAAGAGAGTATAGAAAATTTTATTTAAAAATTTTTTTAAAATAAGATGAAAAATTAAAGATATAATTTGAGGTTCAGGATGATGTTATCTCCTTCAGAAAGATTTATTTTTGCTTCTGGCAGTCAAAGTAGAAACATATGACTTTAATTCTATTAGAGTTTGAAATTGATTATTTTTTGGTAATGGTTGGTCTGTTTCTGGTTTACCAAACTATTCCTAGATTGTAGTCCTTTGGAGATCACAAATAAAAGGCAGACATGTTTCCCAAAGCTCCTTCTCATCCTTTTTGAGCCTTAAACTCCAGTTTCCATGTCTTCCTTTTCTATGCTGCTGCCAAAGCCTTTGGTCTGCTAGTTGGCCTGTTTCTCCTTTCTGTCCATCAAGGAAAAAGTGGCAATGGATATAATGCTCTCTTTCCTGAGCTTTCATGATTGTGACTCTTTAAGACTCTGCTGCCTCAGTGGCTCTGCGATACCTTCAGACAGATTTTAAAAAATACTTAATCTGTCTTCTCATTCTTAGCAGGAGTTGGTTGGAAGCATATTAATCCACCATTGCTGGCAACAGAAACTCTGCTGGAGATGTTTAAATTAGATCTCAGACACTATATTATGTTGTCCTTGTGTGCTTCAGTTTGTATCTCTGAAAACTGTGGATGCTTTCTTATACTCATGATTCCGTTTCATGCTCATATTTCCTTGTTTATCTCAGAAATGTCCTGATATAGTTCTGTTTGAGTTAAGATATCCAGGTATTACAAATGTTTGTCATACCTCTTCAGTCTTTTTAAATCTAGATTGCTCCCACCTTTTCTTTTCATGACTAGAGAGGATCCTAAGCCAATGTCCTATTGAATCCCCATATCCATGTTACTTATTGCTCTTATCCGTTATTTTTCCTGTGAAATGTAATTTTAACTTTATGGGCTTAAATTCCACTTTGACTTATTGGATTTGGCTTGGTTTGCTTTGGTTTTCTTTGGTTTGGCAGGGTTGTTTTATAAGTAATGCAAAATAATTCCTATTGCATCATGTGGGATGGCACTTAATATCTGATTGTCTCTCTTTAGTGATGCTAAGATTAGACCAACCTAATCCCTCCACTGTAAACATCTCCATCATTTTTTAATCTAGGGGCTTTATCTAGTGATACCTTTTCCCTGGCTCACTTATTTCTTTGGAAATTGCAAAATTACGGTTTCTCTAGGTCTGTCATCAATACATATTTATTAGCTACAAGCAGTTAAGCTCTCTTTTACGATTCAAGGATGTGTTTTGCATCAGATTTTTTAAAACAGTTCTGAAAAATAAATGCTTTTTTGCTGCCATGTAAATAAATGCCAAAGCTGCTACCTCTGATGAAGCAGCGTGACTGGTAATGGAATCGTACAGAAAAACCTCAGCGAGACCTTTGCTTCTCTGTGTCCTTTCAACCTAAGACATTCCAGTTCTCTGACTCTCGGCCTCCCATAGACTGAGCCAGCAAGATTTCGGTGCTTGTGGGTTCGAGTTAAAGCTGGTGTGCACTCTTCTTCTCTTCTCTGCTTGTTTAAACTCGTTCCCTTCTTTGAACTTACTCACTGTGAAAGCACCAAAGGCAGCTTTTCCATTCAGGGCCAGCATTCTAGGGCATGAGTGTGCTAGCATCATATCTATGAAAAGAAGCCAAATGCTTTGTCAAACGATGTAGTTATTATACAATTTCCTTGTATGTTTTTGTGGAGATGGTTATTTTTCTGAATCTTATAGCCATTTCTGACTCCACTATACCCCAGCAAGTCCTCAGTTCCTGTTGAATCAGTTCTATAACCTTTTTTATATAACTTCGTGTCTAGTTCTGATGAAATATTCTCAGTTCTCTGAGCAGCACCTCCCTGCAGGGCAAGGCCGAGCCTCCTCACTGCGTGGTGCTCTGCATAGCCAGGCGTCCCTCTCCACCCTGCCCTGGACAGTCCAGAGGGCTTGTTGCCCTCTCTGTTCAGCCTCCTGTACCAGCCCCATCCCTTCCAATGCCCTGCATGCTTGGCCCAGGATCTCATCATCTACCCTGGTCCAAACCAGCTCAAGTCTGCTGTTCCTCCAATCACTGTGGTCTCTGCTGCTTCCCAAGAACCCAAAGTCTGTGCCATGCGCTGATGGATCTCAGTCTTCTCTGTATCTTGATTTCATTTGCCTCATTTCTGCAGCTTAACTGTGTTCACCAGGGGCAGGGGTTTACCATGAACATCTCCAGAGTCCTCAGAGAACCGGGCCCAGAACCTAGCATTGCACAGTGTACCTTCCCCACCCTTCTCCCCAGGATTCCTGCTTTAGTCCTCAGACACACCTGATTTGTTGTTGAGATGCTCAGCTTGGCCTTGATTTTTATAGTTCTGCGGTTGAAGACTCCATCCTCATCACTGTCACACATGGTGAAGTTGCTGAAGCCTGTGTCCTTGGTGGGCAGCTTCACCAGTGTCCCTTGAGGTGCTAGTTCGGCAAGTGATTATGATTCATCCTACATGTCAGCTAGAGGCTGCCTGAACTAAGCAGGCTTCAGCCAGCACTGTGCCAGAGTGGGAATGTGTATGTGGGAATGCCCCTGGAATGTTTATGTGGGCCCCCCAAACCATGCACACACTTCCTCCTCAACCTCTCCTTGTAAAACTGTACTTCATTTTAAAAAATCTTTCAGTGACCGAGGCAGGTACCTGTCACAGCATAATTATGCACCACTCTCTCTACCACCATAAGACCAATGGTTTTCTTTCCTTTAGCTAACTGACTTGACACACACCCTTTAGTGGAGAGATTATTAGTATAAAATTACTTTTTGGCCTTTAAATTTAATTATGCCACATTCATAGCAATAAAAAAAAAATCCCAAATCCAGGTGTGCTTTTCAAGGAAAGTGTGCAGGGCAATTACCTTCTGATAATGGCATCCTGCACTTAAGTCTTTTGTCTGGGGATCTTAAAATCTTTTGCACACAAGTAGATAATGATGTTCATTCTGGAAGGGGTGAGAGGTGAAGTGATTGACCTCTTAGCATACTCAAGAGATGAAGAAAAATGTAGGACCCAGGTGTCTCCTTTGTTGATTTCCCTTCCTCCTCCTTCTCAGTTCTTTAGAAAAAGGCAGGGCCAGCCTTCTATTGATTTCATACGTACCTCCCAGGTACTGCTTTTTCACTTTGTTAAGAACATGAATGAATAAAGTTTCTGTATCGCATTTCGGTGCAGGGGGAGTCAAGGCTGAAGGAAGAGGAATGGTTGCAGATATGCACACACTTGTCAGAGAACATACCTGCTTCTCATGGCCAGTCTACCTCACCTCTTAAACAGGAGGGCTTAAAGTGGGCCCCAGGGGCTCATAGATAAGAACAGTTAGAGCAGAGCCTATCACAGTGCAAGCCCTGTATACGCAGTGGCTCCTAGGATTAGCTTATTGATGTGGAGCAGCCGGCCCTATCCTCTCCAGAGAAGAGTATGCCTTACTTCCTTTCTGCCCACCCAGCCATGCCTTTCTGAATCTTGTTTTCTTCCTCCAGAAAGCCTTCCCTAGACCAGCCAACCATCAGTCACCTCTCTTTTAATAAACTCCTGCATCAGCTTCTCAGCTCAATTTAAACTTAAACTGAACATCTAACATATACTGAGGTTGGCCTGATTTGGGCACTGAATCATGTTCCGTCATGTAATATTGTTTTAACTCTCATGTGAATGTTTGCCTTCTGTCTGATGGGATTATGGGCCTTGAGGGAAAAGCTTAGTTATATACAGTGTGATATTTCCTCTAACCCCAGATACAACCCTCCATATATAGCAGGAGTTCAGTATTCCTGAGAGTGTGGGATGGTAAAAGAGGCCAAACTGGTGACCTCAGTATAGTACATTTTTGTTGATGAGTTGAATTAAGGTAGCTCTTCGTGGGGGCTGAAACATAGCCCTAAGTTCTCATTCTTTGGTTCAATGCAACACCTTTTGTTATGTTAGACGTCAAAGAGATAAGTGTGTATTGAGTTCTTTCTGCATACAGGATGTCACAGAAAACTCAGAGTGCCCTCAGCAAAATCATTGTAATCCACCAAGATGATAAAATAAGTACACTGAAACTATCAGAAAGGGGGGCCGTGGTAAGCTCTGTACCTATCATTCCATAAAGGCTTTCACAATTAAAGGCCAAGGTGTGGTAGTATCTACTTGGGGCATCGTGAAACTTTCATTCATTTATTCTGCTAATATGTGCTGAGAGGCAGTCTTCTGTTCCAGGCCTCTGCTAATGCTTAAGCTTCATGGAAGAGGGTGAAGGCAGGGTTAATACCATAAATGTAATGCGCTCTTTCCCCAGATAGAAATGCAGAAGTCCAAACTTGTGTTTCTTCTCTCTGGTATGTATTAAAGAAGCATTGCAGTCCTGTTATTATTTTTTTTTCCTAATGTAGAAGGAATCTGGGGAGCTGAAGACTAGCAGTGTGCTAATTCCCGTAGGTATAGCATTTTCCTGCATTGCAAAGCTAATTTTCTGTCAGTAGCTTATTCACATTCACAGCCAGTGTTTGCTGCCACTTTCGTAGTCTCCTGATGCAATACTGACTGCAAAGGTGAGACCTGCTGACACTGTTTGCCTTTTTGATTCTTCCAGGATTTTTTTCCCAGGGAGCCACCCCGTCCGAGGTGTGCAAGTAATGAAAGTTGGCAAACTGCAGTTACATCAAGGCATGTTTCCCCAAGCAATGAAGAATCTGAGACTGGTGAGTGTGCCAAGAGCTGGGGGGCTTCTGCCTGGTAGGCCTTTCTCTGGCTGGGTCTGGGCCTCATCTTGGTGACTGTTTTTAGCAATGTATAACATGCGTGCGTGCCCACACACATGTACCTACACTCCTAAGTTGTGCTGGTAAATGTTTAACAACCAGATCTGAAAAAACTGGCTTTGTGATCTTTGCCACTTTTTGTCGTATAAATGGGCCTAGTGTGACTGATTTCAAACTACCATTGTAAAATCAACCAGCTCCTAAATATCATGGTAATTTGAAATCACTTTTGCAGACTGCTGCAAACGCAAGGGAATGTGTACCTACCCCAGAGTGAAAAGTCTCCCTTCCCCATGCCCACCAAACATAGTCCAGCTCCTTCCGTGGCAGGCAAGACCCTAGACCACTGGTCTGCAGTCTACCCGTGCAGCTTCCGCATCCCTCCTTCCCTCTCTATACGCCCAGAGCACACCGTGCCGCTCCATTGCCCACCCTGACCTACGGACTCCTAGGTCTTTACAAAGAAAATTTCTCTGCCTTAAATCCCCCATCCACCTCTGGATCTGGCAGAACTCTACTGGTCCTTTAAGGCCTTGCTTCCATGCCATTTTCTTCTTTATTCCTATCACTCCCTGCTCCCACTGCCAATGTGACACTTACCATATCGTAGCAGCCATATCTGAACACCCACCCTCCTGCCCACAGGGACTTTTGCAGTTGTCTTTGTAACTACATCAGTACCACATGAGTCACCTGGAACTAAAAATATATTCATTGTTGGGAAAGGGGAGGGAGGGGAATCAAATGCAATCTCAGCATAAGTGCAAAGAAGAAACTGAATGGGAGAAATGGGTCCGTGTTGGAACACTTTTTGAGCTGTGAGACTTGTTTCCCTCCTCTTAGGGATTCTCCTCTGCCCCAAGGGGCTCAGGGCTTTCTACTGCCTTGGCTTTCTCCCCGGCTAGGTACATTTCCATCCCTCTCGATGTCTGGCCTTTCAAAAGCAGAAAACAGAGGCTCATCTGGCCCGGGCACCGGAGGGGCGAGACAGAACTGGCATGTGGGTTTTTATGGGAAGCACTCAACATTTTGATTTAGTCCTGGGATACAGCAACCCTATCTGCAAAAAAGCCTTTGGGGAAGGATCAGAGCCCTGCATCTGTTGCTCTGGTGGTGTCCAGGGGTTGGGTGAGCCCATAACAAGGACAATTTTAGATGAGAAAAATGACGATGCCTAAAGGAGTCTTCAAAATAAGATCCCCTAATGCTAATTTTTATTGAATGCCAGCCCAGTCATCTGTTCCTCACTGCTAAATGAAATTTGCCCATAGTCACCAGGAAGAGACTACACTTTCCCAAAGGTACACAAATCCTTTTCTTTGTACTTCAGTCAACATTTTTTTCCCAACTTACAGAAATACATTTAGCAGTTTGCAGCTCTCTGAGAGCTTTCCTCCTTTTCTGGTCTGGTTAGTAATTATTAGGCAGATCAGCTAGACAGAAAATTCTTACTCAAGGTCTGGTGTGTGAGAGATTTGGCAGAAAAAGAAGGCAGAGGAAGTTTCCCAAGTGAATGATGTTCTCAACCCAGGGTTACCTTGCAACTAGATTAATCCTTTATGTTCATATGGGACCAAAACTGTTAATGCTGCTCCTGCATACAACACCTTTCTTGGTCCTCATGACACACGGCAGCCTTGTGAGGTCAGTGGACAGGCATTTTTATCCCTGTTTGAAAAACGAAGGCCCTCAGCCTTGGTGACATGCAAGAGCTTGCCTGAAGTCACACCGAGGCAGAGCCAGGCCTAGTTCATTTAGTTTAGTTCAACATGTGTTGATTAAATGCTTCTGTTACTCGGAATAAAGCCCTGTATTGTCCTTACAATTTAATGCAGCAGACAGACATGCAAACGAGTCATTAAATCCAGGCTAGAATCCAACTCAGAGGACAGTGGGGAGAGAAGTCAGAGACTATTTGAATCTCTTCTGCTCTTCATGTGAGGCTGAGTCCTTGCCATTGCGAGCAGAGCTCCTGAAGGAGCCGGCTCACACCCTAGTGCTATAGCTTTTGCCTCACATGTGTGAGGCCCTGGGTTCTATCTCCAGCACCAGAAAAAGGGAAGAGGGCTGAGAGGGAAGAAGGAGGAAAGGAGAGGTGGGGAGGGAGAGGACAAGAGAGGAGAAGAGAAAGCAAACGAGGAAGAGACCCTCAGCTGCAAAGACAAGCCTAACAAACCAGATATCCCAGCATGGGTCTACAGGGTAATACACCCTGGGCTGACGGTACAGACCATCATCAGCCCTTCTGCTGGCCCTCTGACTGTCCTCTATACCCCTGGTGCCCAGGCCTATTCTCTGCCGTCTTTATGCCCTTCTTATGAGGCTCACAAGTTCACCTTATAATAATCACCTTAGTATTTCTTGTTTTCAATACCAAAGATAAGCCCAAGCATGGACCCTGACAGCTGCCTGATGAAAGATCTCCTAGGAGCACCACAGAATTATCTGATCTAAGGCCTGTGCTTAAACTTTAGTCTTCCCAAAACTTCCTGCTTGACTCTGGACGAGTCCTAAGTCTGGACACGTTCTGATGTGCACCCCTGACAGTGTGGTACAGGAGGAGGAAGGACTGGACTTAGAACTGAAGGATCAGGTTCCAGTCTTGCCACTTACTAGGTCTGTAACTTGATGTAAGACACTTTTTTTTTTTTTTTTTTT